GACAACACTTTAGGATCAATTCTCATTCCTAAAGCAATCCAAATCTCATTTATGTACCAAGATTTTCAATTAGTGTGCCCTAATCCATTTTCATGTTTCAAAATATTATTCTAAGGATTTTCAATCTCAAATCAAGGATTAACAATGCTAATCCATTTATCTCAAGTCCCCAAATGAAGCTAATTTGAGTTCTCCCCGAAAACATGGGTCAAAACAGCAATTTCAGGCCAATCAGGGTCAAACCCCGTGTTAACCGGTCGACCGCTGATAGAGTAGTGCAACACTACCGGTCAACCGGTAGTGTGCACACCGGTCGACCAGACCAGTCGATCGGTCCGCCTGTAATCCGGTCGACCGCATAGGTCAACCGGTTTCCATGTGATCCGGTCGACTGCATAGGTTGATCGGTGGAATCAGCTGCGCAAGAGAAGCTCGCGGAAATCAGTCCAAAACCTGTAAATCCAGTCCCAATCAAGATATTTCAAAGGGAAACCACTAGATCTGGGTTCTAGGTCCTAAAACAAGTCCAAAGAACCCAAGATTTCTAATTTCTACTCTAGTTTTACTAAAAAACCATCAAAATTCGATTTGAACCAAAAATAAGTTTTGAAATTCAAAAACTTGAGATTCAAGAGAAGTTCTTTCAGTAATCTTACCTCGAATCCTTCTCTTGACGTTGAAAACTTCTTTAAATCTTTCCTTGGTTCAAGATCCGTTTGATTCGGGACAAAATGGGAGAGAGTGAGAGTGAGAGAGAGCACGGTAGAGTGAGGGAAGTGAGAGAGAGAGAGATGCACGGGAAGGAGAAAGAAAGGAAGAAAAGAAAAAGAAAAAGAAAAGAAAAGAAAAGAAAATGGACATGTGTACAATATTTTAAAACAACAGTCCAGAAATGCGCCCATACACACTTCTGGGTTAAAATAAATTACTGAGGATAATTTAAATACCTTGGAACTATTTAAACTCACACGTGTCAGAAACATTTATTAATTAATACTCAATTAATAATTCAGATTAGACACACTAATAATCTCAATTACCTTAATTAATCTCAATTAATTCTTCAGGGTGTTACAAGTACTATACATGAACTATGTGTCATTGTTGCATTCTAGTTTACTACTTGTTTGGTTTACGAGTTTGAAGCACAATTTCATTTTGAATTAAGAATCTAGTCTGGATTGGTATTTATAGAAGTGCAAAAAAAAAAAAAAAAAAAAGAGTTGTGTCTTAAATATGATATAATATTTATTTTAGGATCGAGAATGCCATCCCGTCTCTTGCGATGTTCGGACTCACGATGCCCCTAGCAGTTTTTTGGATTTAATGGACATACATCTACTTAATTTGTTTATTTATTCGAATTTTACGTAAGATTATCCCAGAGGTAATAGATAGTTTTTATGCGATGAGACTATCTATATATATAGTACATAACTTAAAGAGTACTTTCTGTAAACGTTTGTAATTCTTTGCATAATTAATCAAAATAAAACACAGCATGTTTATGATCATCAGCACTGCTTGGGTGAATTTTAACTAAATGAACAATGTGAAAACAGCTGAGCGCCTGAGCCAACAAGGGAAAACGACATGCTAGATTGAGAAAAGACAGTAGTTGGATGGTACCTTCTATTGAACGTCATGATCATCCATACTATATATAATATGTCGCGCACTTGGCCTACTTGAGGACATACATACATATATATATATATATGTTTATATATATACACACACATATAAAATTCATATATACATGTCAAAAGTACTAGTTTTGGCCTTGTAGAGATATATTAAGTGCCCAAGTATCTGTTTTAGCGTTATTTATGTTTATCATTAATTTGTTAAAGTCTACCAAGAATGTATAATTTTGTTTGACGAATATTATTAGAACATGTTTGAGCTTAATTTGTATTATTAAAGCAATATTAATGGGGAGCATGACACAACTTATACTCTTCGTGTTTTTTCTTTGCTATTTGGAATGTAGAAGGTCAAATTAGTTTTCTTAATCAGGCTATATGTTTAAACAAAGAATATGGAGAATTATAGTTAGCTAGCTAATTAAACTCACTGCCTAATTTGTCTCATAGCCGTGTTAAACGCGGACATTTGAAATTAAATTAGTAGAGTTTAGTTTTCATCTCCTTCTCTATTGAAAATCCTATTTGTAATGCGATCCTAGTTGGCAAATAACAGGCCAATGAATGTCCAAGTCGAACTTCTTATCAACTTAAACTTGCTTAATGATGATCATGTTAAGTGCTTAACTATAATGATATGCAGCACAAATACGTATATAAATATATATAATGGTTAATTAAGTTATATGATCAATTTGACTTTGATTAATTCTTCCATCAATGAAGGAAAGCCCTTAAAACAAACAATATGTTGCTATTTTTGGAGCGATTCTTTATTTGCCTGGTGCTAAGGAAACGGTGCATAACGATGAAGATGCGTCCTTTTGACCAAGTGAGACACAGAATGGAGAAATAAATAAAAGACAAGCGTTGTACTGAACTAGATCTGCAATCTGATCGAATGTGTAATTAACTATGCCGACAAGATTTAGTTGAAGGTTAAAAATGCCTAGATTATTAGGAAAAGGAAAGGCAAAAAAACAAAAAAAAGTTTAGAGGCATACTAAGTATTATGTATGCATCACTCACAAGAAAAATGTATGTTTTAGCTCCCGAGTTTTTTAGTTCAAACCTATAAAACAAACAATGACGGAGACAGGATTATGTGTATAAATTAAACTTGATTCCCTTAAATAAAATTGTTACATATATATACAAGTTAATTTGGTCCCCATACTAATAAATCTTGGCTCTGTCATTGGAAACAAACACATGCCTAATTGGACTTAACTAGGCTAATTCTGTTTCAAAACTTGTAAGCACATATCCTTCATCTCTTTTTCATCTGTTTAATGTTTCATAGTCAGCGACCTTAATTAAAAGTTGTTAATCTCTACTGTTGACTAAAAATTTTCATTAGTTTTTGATGTTATACATGTATATGAATCTTTTTTTTTTTTTCCCCGGCATCACTTCTGGTTTAGTAGCCGGCATGACGCACGCATTTAAAAATATCAATTTCAATTTGTTTTAGAAAAGCTAAAGCCAAACAAAGAGATCAGTAGAGATTCTTGCATATCCAGTTACAGATTCTTCTCTCCGCTAACAATAGTTTTGGAATCTGTTCCTTCGTTAGGTAATTGGTTGCATGGAAATAATTGATTTTTCTTTCTCCATTATTTTCATTTTTTTTTGTTTAGAAATTTATAAACTGAACCGGCAGTAATAGTAAAAACCGTTGACTTCAAGTTGTACCTAGAAATCTTTCAACAAATTTGTTTTCCAATATGCATGCCAATTAGTTTACTAAGAGAAACTAAAAACTATCAACTAAATTTCCCTTAAAAAGAAATTATCAACTAATATATCAAAAAAAGTGCCTCTCAAATAAGCTCGCATTTTTTTTGCCCCCCTTAAACCAAAAGAAATATTGAGTAGTTGAGAAGTTCAATAATATGGGATTTTTATTTGCTTTTGTTATCATCTTGGAACCATTAGGCTATGTTTGGAAGTTAGATTTTTATTTCCTTATGTTTGGATCTTAAGGAAAATTAGGGAGAAAATAAAAAGATTCCCTTATAAAATTTTAAAGATAATAGAAAATATTTTAATATATACATAAAAAGTTGTAATTATATAATTTTATGGGAGACGAAAATGATAGAATTTTTTTTTCAGGGGTCAAAGTTAAAAGGAGCCGTTTGGGCTCCTCTCTCTCGGGCTCCCCTCTCTCGGGCTCCAAGTGGCTCTGCCACTAGTTCTGTCGGTAAACTCGAATGAAGCTTAAGGAAAAATAGTGTGTACTGGACTCCACAAATAGAAATCATCCAAAGAGGTACACAAAAAATCGAGCACAAATATGGTTGTTTAACATAACCTCTTTAATCGATGGAAACAATCCAATCAACCGATATCGAGAAACCTAGGCACGAAGGCTAACAAAACCGTAAAGAAACATAACTTGCAGACGAAAAGGACAATAACCTAAACTAATTGGGGTAAAAACCACCATTATTACAAACGAAAAAAAAATCCATAAGCTAGGACATCAAAATTACAACGGAAATAGTAGAAAATATGCCAATATGAAAAGCTTAAGAAAGTATATAGACCAACTTTTAGTTATAGAAATTAATAGGCCATAACTTGTCAAGTTATGGTTCATAACTAGATAAGTTATTGACAAACTTGTCAAGTTATAGTTCATAGCCAGACAAGTTATGGACAAAAACCGTGAATAACTTGTCAAGTTATGGTTCATAACCAGACAAGTTATTGACAAAAACAGTAATTTGACATATTTATTAACTTATGTAAACTATTAGCCTATTAATTTTAATTCATCTAAGTCTTAACCTATTTTTCTCTTTCTCCCAAATTACAATAGGAGCAAGGCCCTCAACACTAGTGAAACAAAATGGTAGAAAAAATGAGTAGTTTATAAACCACATTTCAAACCTTTTGTTACCACAGTATTTTCATAAGAGAATATCCAAAATACCTATTATATTTTACATAAATAGAATGTTTGCATCTCTTCTTATTCAAATGCACCGTTTATAAAATTTGTTACAAAATATCCCCTTAAGCAATTTAATTTTTAAAAATATGAAGTTTACCCTTCCTCATTTATATTAAATGTTATTTTAAGTATTACTTAACTAAAACTTTAGTAAAAAAAATTTAAATGTTCAAATAATAATAGATCGGGAATGAAAATCATGGAATTTTAAATGAAATTCTCCAAAAATGAGTGCTTGCTAGATTTCCACAAGAACGATATAAAAGAGAGTTATGTTAACAAATAGAGATGCTCAAGACTAGCCTATTTCAGACCAAAAACATATAGATGAGCAAGATGATTTCTTTCTTTATTGTAACAAAAAAGAAACCAATAACAAAAAACTAACTACCATAGTTCATATGGAATAGTGAATTTTGAACTCTTTGTGGGCATCTTCTAAGATAGAGCATATTTCATTTCCTTTTGGTGCCATATGAGGTTAGACTTCACTTTTTACCCTTCTTCTTTCCTGGTACATTGCTTTTTTGCTGAACCCGAACTCTTCGTTTCCGCGTTGTAGCAAACTCTCCGAACTTATGACCAACCTTTTCTTCGGTGATCTTACACTTTATAAAAGTTTTTCCATTGTAAATTCGGAAGGTGCAGCCTACAAATTCGGGCAAAACAGTAGATCTACGTGACCAGATTTTCCTGTTCATTAGAAGATCTCTCCTGTTCTTGTTTTTCAACAGGAATGCATCAACGAAACAGTCCTTCCATATAGTTCGCAGCGGATTTGCATGTCCTGATACACGATTGCTCACCACGTTAGCCACAGATTCATGATTAAAATCAAAGCATACATTTTTTTAAAAAAGAAATGGAGAAATGTAAATTCCAATAACAAAATGCCATGCACGACTTGACAGAGAAAAAGACCTTGTTCTTGCACCTTGACTAAGTCCTTGATGAAAATCAGATAATAAAATTAAGCGAAATGCTAAACTTCACTAAGGCCCCGTTCATTTCACCAATTCGAGTTTAGCTACAGTAAAAAACTGTTAGAAACAATCACATCTAACTTTTTGCTACAGTAAAAAACTCACATAAAATCACATTCACATCTCAACTCGAATCAGCGAACTAAACAAGCCCAGTTTTTTGAGAGTTCGTTATCTTGAATGAAGAAGAGAAAGACACAGAGCATTATAAAAAAAATAAAAACAAAACAAAAACACTCACTCACTCACTCACTCTCTCTCAGTTTTTTGATCCCTCCCTCCCTCCCTCCCTCCCTCCCTCTCTCTCTGTTTTTTGAGATTTCTCTTGAATGAAGCAGAGAAAGACACAGAGCATTATAAAAAAAATAATATAAAAAAATAAAAAATAAAAAAACCTCCCTCCCTCCCTAAAAAAAAACACAAAAACTCTCTCTCTCTCTCTCTCTCTCTCTCTCTCCATAACATTCAAATTTACCTCTCTCTCCATAACATTCAAATTTACCTCCCTTCCATGGACAGCTAGTGTCATAGATCCCATGAGTCTACTACTCAAATTTCAAAGTCAATCTAACAAAAGAACGCAAGTTCCTGTTTGTATGTTTTTCCCTCGCTGAAACTTTTAGCTCTATTCAATTAGAAAAGATGGGAATAAAAGAAGATAAGTGGTAAGAAAATAAAGAAATTCAAACTCAAGGTATCTTCAAGCAAAGATCAATCTAGTCTATATCATCGATTTGCGATCTGCTAATTCACACATGCTATTGTGCAAAGTTTTCGATTCTTCTATTTATTTGATTGTTATTATTGGGACTTGTCTTTTTCTTCAGCATTGTAATCTGTTTTAGCAAATATCTTTTCAAGCATCAGCTCTTGCAAAAGATTTCTCCACCTACACGTACTATTGTAAGTAAACCACATTTTGAATTGTCTTGTGGCATTCTGACTACAAATTCTAAAGGGAGATAATCGCAATAAACAATAATAAGAAATTTATAAATCAGAATACTTGGGTGGCAATAAAGTTGAACAAAATCAAATTCAACACGGATATGGACTTCAAGTTATGAATAGAAGCTTCTACTCATGATGTGTGGAAGGACTCTAAAATGAAAAAGAGAATACAAAAAGGTAACTCACATTTAAACTTGGCAGCTTAAAGAAGACTGTTTGAACACTGCCATAAACAAATAAACAAAATAAACAAAAAAAAAAAAAAAAAGAAGGAAAAACTAAGTAAAAAATGACCAAAAGATGCATAATATTTCATGTTTGGCTTTAGAAGTTCTATTGATCTAAAATGGAAAGATGTCATTCAGCTGAAATAACTGGAGGAACAAAAAATGAAAAGAGCATCAAACCCACAATAGAAAAGGCTGAACTCAACCAAAATTACAATTTGAAGAATGCCTCACGACCTTGGCTTTGGCTATAAAATTAAATCTCCTCAACAAACTAGAAAGAAACTAATAATGACAAACAATCAGAAACTTTTCATGCCACATTTATCTATTTCATCCATCTCCACCCGTTACAATTACCAACCAGTAATTAAATTCAATATCGGTCAAAACCTCCATGTCTCCGGTGGTCGAAACACCACCATGCAACAGGAAAAAAAATGGATTGAAATAATAACAAATAACAAAGTATATGATCCGTAATAGGAATTATGATTCTTTTTTATTATTTTTGTTTATTATTAGTTTTAGCAACTAACAGACCAATTGATGATTGCAAACGATTTATGTTGTTCTCTGAGGTTACACGATAAGATTTTTGTGAAATTGGGTTCAAGTATATGTTGTTCATCAATGGAAACTACTGATTAGTAATTTGAGTTATTTAAGAAGAAAAGGGAAGTTTTTCGAGTTCCTGCTATGATTATCATGTGAAGAAACATCAGTCTGGATTTTTTACACATCTTTTTTTTGGGAGAATTCTATGGTGTGGTAGGACACAGTTTTAAACCGTCAAAGTACACATCATATCCGGAAAAAAATAAGCTTGACAAGTTTACGGAACCTAATAGAGATTTGATGGATCAGTATTGTGTCCTACTAATACGGTATTTTTTCACATGGCATTTCTTCATACCCCATTCCAGAATTCTCCCTGCATAAGTAGCCAAAGGTTGGAAATACTCAGGTGACCTTAAGAACACTTTGACTAGATTGAACATATATGTTCCTTTCGGTTTGTTAGTTGGGAAAAGTTTCACTAGTGATAGGTCTTAGTTATTTGTTATTATTTCAATCCTTTAAATTTTTTTTTGTTTGTTTGTTGCATGGTGGTGTTTAGACCACCGGAGACATGGAGGTATTGACCAATATTGAATTTAATTATTGGTTGAAAAAGAATAGGATCCACTTTTATTTATTTTCTAATTTCACATACATCTCCAACTGCAATCAGCAATAAAATTCAGTACCGATCCATCTCTCCAATCATCCAAAAACCACAACTAAGACCTACTACAACTAACAAACTTACCCCAACCAACTACCACCATACGACATTCAATTTTTCTAGTCACTACGGTCTCAAGTCCTAAAAGCTTCCATCCTTGGCTACTCTTGCAAGAGAGAAATGGGGAAAACATAAAAACAAAAAAGTTGTGAGGCTCCCGCAAAGAGATACAATGGGCCTCTCAAAGTTGAGTACAACAATGTATCTCTTCACAGAGTAGTGCGTATTAGAGAAAGTTACCTTTTATAATAGTTTTGACTCTATTTTTATTTATTTTCATATTAGGAAATCTCTAAATTTGATGGTTCAGGTAACTTACCTGATTATGTGCTTGTAATATGTCTATCTACATGGAGCCCCATTGATAATGCTCCTCACTAGTGAACATTCTCTTTTTCCCTAGTCCATGGGCATAGGCATAATGCCGAACTGCATTAAATCTCTTTGTTATTCTATTCTTCCTTTCATATTTCTTATTTAATTAGAATTAGTGCGGAGCTGGGAGCCAAACAAAATTGCTAATTAAAAAAAAATAAAAATAGTTCCAACTTTCATGCCGTGTACTTGGCAATTATTGGAGTTGGAGATGCTAAACTTAGACTGACCAAATATGAAGACATGCAGATTTGAACTCAGAGATTTTCTCTTTGCTCTCGGAAAAATAAAACTACTCAACCTACTAGCATTAAATCACGCAGTCTTCTTTGATTAAGAACAAGTAAGGGCAAGAAAAGCTTAACTTGTAGAATCAAAAAAGTAAAAACATAAAACATTTTTAAGGCTCTAATCGGTCTGTTATGGATTTTACACTTCAAGCACCACAAAGAATTTAGGGCTTTCGAAATGCTACTGCAAGAAACAGAGGCAAAGATACCATTTTTATTCATCTACGGAAGCAACAAAACAAAAGAACCCAAAACCTAAAACAAATTCAGCAACAGAAAACGATGAGGGAAACATGAAAGAGAGAGAGAGAGAGAGAGAGAGAGAGAGAGAGAGAGAGAGAGAGAGAGAACCAGAGATGAAGAGGTCTGTGCTCGGCTCAGCCTGTTCTCGAGCCTGAGCTGCAACAGGGGTCGGCGGCGGAATGAATGGAGAGGTGGAAGCCGTTGAGAAGAGCCGTCTAAGCAAGCCGCTAGGTGCAGCAGCCGCCACCGCTGCCGATCTCAGAGCCATGTTTGTCTGCAGCTGTGTTTAACTTAAATCCTTAAACCCTCTTGCTCGCTAGTTTTGTCTTAAGAGAGAGAAGGAGAAGCCCGCTGTTGATGCTGGCTGGGCCATAAATGGCAAACAGGGCGAGAGAGGAAGTGAAATTACAGAATTAGCCCCATGTTTAGTTTTTTTTTTTTTTTTTCAAATGAATTAATATATTCCAAAATACAAAAAGGCATTACAAACATCAATCCATACACATAGCTCCTACTATAAAAAATATGACACCACATATAATCGGTTCCATTAATTGGCGGAGCCAGAAAAAATTTTCAGGGGGCAATAACCGTAACTATCTTATTTTCTTTTTAAAGCTTTTGATCTTTCTCTTTTATTTTTTTTAATATATTTTTATCTTTTTTCATTCAATCTCTAATCGAGTTTAATTTTCTTTCTAAAGTGTAAAGTCTACAAAATTATGAATTCATATGTGTAGTTAATTTCTGTTTTTATAGGGTCTTAAGTGTGAACTATTAATTAGTATACTTAAGAGTCAACATTTAAAGTATAATCTACAGATTTAAAAACTTCTATTAAAATGGGTATTGATTAAACTAAAACTTTAAAGATAATAGAAAATATCTAAAAAGTACAACAATAGCATGGCTTTGACTGAAGTATGAAATTTCCATCTACAGTTAATGCAATGATGACAGATCAGAGAGGGTTTTTTTTTTTTTTTTGAAAAGAAACGAGAATTTTATGAAACCATAAATGAAAAAAGGAATGCAGAGGAAGAGCTTTCCTCAAACAGGCCAGATCCAAAATTACAAAAACACATAAGAAAAGGGACTCAGACACCAGAGACTGCAAAAATGGTACCCAATCCCTAACCAAATCGACAGATCAGAGAGGATTATGTTCTTTGAGTTCATTTGTCGAGCCCTTGGTACACAGATCATATGTAATTAGTCTTCTTTTCATTATATCACATTCTGTCACTAACGTAACTCACAAACTACTAATCACTCAAGTATTTTGTTATCATAAATCCAACATTAACAAGAACTCCATTTGTATACCAGCCAAAAGTAAACAAGCTACTCAGTCATATAAAGAGAAATTAAGGCTAGTTAAACACTTGTCTTTGAAAGAAAAACAGGGGGTCACTTAGCACTTACAGAAGAAACGTTTTGGATTCTTCATGGCTTGTAATCATTCCTTTGGATAAAACAATTAACCATATCTTCAATATACAATCTAGCGAACGATATATAATCATTATACAACCAGACAAGGAAGCTTGACCAAAAAAAGGAGAATTATGAATAAATTATGAAAAGTTCCAAAGTGGTTATCACTTAATCAGGCATAAGACTTTAACAGGAAAGAAGGAAATCGTTCTATGAAATAAATTTCCATGTGGAATGAGACACAAAAATAATTACACGCAACCTTCTTTCACTTGCACACAGATGAGATTACAGAGCCCTTAAACGTATCAAACAAAAATCTACTGAAAAATGCACAAAAAAATTCCCAAATATTATGTCATCACCAAAACAAAGGAGAATTATGTTGTAGCTAGGCACAGTTTTGAACCATTAAAAAAAAAGAAATTCACAAACAAACAAACCCCACGCGAAAATTACTCTCTCTCTCGCCAAAAAACAGGAGAATTATGTTGTAGGCACAGTTTTGAACCATTAAAAGAAATCACAAACAGAAAATAGTGGACAAGACTTATTCCCAAATCCACTGAAAAATGCACAAAAAAATTTCCCAAATTGAAAATTACCTGAGAAGTCAATTTCTTAAAGTGATTCAGTATTGGAGTGGTCGGTAGTGGGGGTTTAATCCCAAATCCACTGAAAAATGCACAAAAAATAGACAACTTCACGAACCTTTCTATTTACAAATCCTCACTCTAATCACTTTGAAATCGAACAAAAGGATGAAACATCCTTAACAAAAATAGAGAGAGGAGTAAAGACTTACCGTTGGAGCTTTAGTTCGCCGGCGTCGGAGCTTACCGCCGTAGGATGCCAAACCCTAACAGAAGAGCGAGAAGGAAAAGGAGAAGTGAAGAGCGAAAAGGAAGAAGAGGAGGAGAGAGAGAGAGAGACGTGAAGAGAGAGATAGAAGAAGAAGAAGAGGGGAGAGAGAGAGAGAGAAGCGAAGAAGAGAGAGAGCGAGAGAGCGACGTGGGTTCGAGAAAGAAACCCGAACAATTTTTTTTAAAGAAAATAAAAGCTCATTCGTTGATTGGAGTAGTCGAGATATAATTTTATATGAAAATTTTTTATTGGAGTAAAATAATTAAATGTGATTATTTTTTAAAGATTTTTACTGTAGTAAAATTTAAATTTTAAACTCAAATCGACGAAATGAACAGGATCAAAATTCAATATTTCTTTTATAATTTTTCTCTAAGTTTTTTCTTAATATTTTTTCATCTCTTAATAGACATTTGATTCATAAATGTAGAATTATAATTTAAAATCATTTTTATTTTACGTATATTTTTTATAAGAAAAAAATATTATAAAAAATTATGAATCATAATTTAAAATTAAAGACGAATACAGAAATCAAACATCCTGTTACACTATGGTCGAGGAATCGACCACTCTCTCGACGCTAGGCGCCGAGAACTTCCCGTCCTGAATCCGTCGCTGGCGTCAGAGGAGTGGCCGTAGTTGAGGTGCCCTCTCCGTCGAGAGATCACACGTGGAGATAGGCGTCGAGGGTAGTGACTCGACCTCTGAGAGCCACTGCGCCGAGGCATCCCGCCAAGTCAGACCTGTCAGCGGTCTTGTCAACTCAGGGAAGGAAGCATCAATCCAACGGCTACTGCAGGAGTCAGTGGATCGTGCAGCAGATGAGAGGGGTCAGCCGCATTTTCTGAGATTGTCATCATGAAAACTCATCTACCCTCCCGAAGATCGAGGATGGAAGATGGCTTCCTCCTTGGGAACGAAGAAGGCTTAGTTGTTTGTAACTGCCTATAAATAGAGCAAAAAGAACCCAGAAAAGGGTTAGACATCATTTCATTACTAAGAGGAGAAAACTTGTAACCGACTGAAATATTAGTGCATGCACAAGTGGATTAGGCAAAGAGTTATTGCCGAACCACTATAAAATTGTTGTCTCCCTTGTGTTATTTTTTAGTCTTAATCTTTAATCAGACCGTGAGTGTCAACGCGTGTTGTTTCTGGAGAGGTAATCACGAGTTGACGGAAAAATACCGTCAACAATTGGCGCTAGAAGGAAGGACCTTAAGCCTAGAAATCTAATCCAGTTTTTAACAAAAAGGAAACAGTAACTATGCTTCCCAGGAACGCTCGCCTGCTGGCGGCCGACCCAAGGAGCCAGGCAACCCAAAATCCCATCGCCGCGGGGACCTCGATGAACCCACTCCCACCAGCCACTGTGAACCCCCCAGACCGCCTTGACCAGCTTCAAAAGCAGGTTGAAACGCTGGCCGCAGCCGTAGAAAGGATGGCTACGGCCCTTGCTGGGCGGGATCAAGGTCAAAACTTTATGCCACCGTTGGAGGATGCGCCGATGAACCCGGTGAACGCCGCCGTTGGGGACCAAGGGATTGGCGACCAACGCGGTGACACCGAGAAGATCGGTGATAGTCGAGCCAACGATCCTCGCCCGGCCAAGTCAAACAGGTCGGTGGGGAGCAGACAACGGGCGGCACGGAGGAGAGCGCATGAGGAGGCTGCGGCGCAAGCTGTGAATAACAAGGATGCGCCCCCTCGACCGTAACCGGATGTGAATAGGAGGAATACTGTCCCCATGGGGTCTTCATCTGTGCACGACAGAGACCTCACGATAAGACTCAACGCTCGACGTGGGAAAGCCGTGCAGCTAGCGATAGAGGAAGAGCTCGCAGCGGATAATAAGGCCCTGGCCGAGAAGATGGCTAGGCTTGAAAAGCATATTGGGAGTCGATTAAATAACTTCAAGCAAGTTGTAGGGAAGGTAGCCGAGGCGGTCAATGTTGACGCCAAGATGTACACGTCGCACGACCACCCGTTCACAGAGAACATCATCCAGGTGCCGCTCCCAGACAAGTATAAATCGCCTCCCATTCCGCTATATGACGGAAGGAGCGATCTAGACGACCACTTGGAGGTGTACACAGGGCATATGGTCCTGCATAGATATCCCGAGGAGGTCATGTGTCGGGCATTCAAGAATCACCTTTCTGACTCCGCGAGGAGATGGTTCAGATTGTTGAAGCCAAACTCCATCACCAGCTGGGATGATCTAAAGAATGCCTTTTTGACTCAGTTCATAGGTGTCAAGAAATACGTCCCGCCTAAATAAAACCTCTCAAGGGTGTACCAGGGGCCTAATGAGTCCCTGAAGGACTAGATAGCCCCGTTTGGGGAGCAAGTCGCTGCCACTAAGGGAATCTCCGACGAGGTGGCCTTGATGGGGGCGCTGTCGAGCATGAAGAAGGATATCCCCTATAGCACGGACCTCGACCGGAGACTGCCCCATACCTACCAGGAGTTCCTAATGAGGGCACAGGGGTTCATTAACGCCGAGGAGGCTAAGAAGGCCTTGAAGAGCAAGGCGCCGACCCCTGCCAAAGAGGAGGTAGGGCAGGCGAGCAATTAAAATAATGGCAAGAAGCGCCGAGGTCTCCCTCAGGTGCAAGCCGAGCAGAGGTATAACCCGGCTCCGAGCAATAGGGGCGGCAACACCTCGACGAGCCAGGGGGAAAGCAAGCGACCGAAGCCGCAGAGGTACAACGCCTATACACCCTTGACTATAGGGATTGAAGACGTCTACCATTAGATGAGCCACCTCCAAGTCCTGGGTCGACCACCGCCGTTAAAGTCTGACCCAGTGCGGAGAAATCAAAACAAGTACTGTCAGTTTCACGGCGAGAGTGTGCATACTGCGGCTGAATGCTACGACCTGAGGGACGAGGTCGACAGGTTGATCCGGGAGGGGAGGCTCAGTGAGTACCGAGCCGACCGACGGAACAACAACAACAGGCACAACAACGACCGATGGGAAGAGCAGAGGCACGACAACCCGCCCGAGCCGATCGGCGTTATAAGAACGATCTTCGGGGGACCATACCTCGGAGGCTCCTCCCGACGCGCACAGAAGGAGTACGCTCGGGAGGCAAATGAAAAGTTCAGCCAGAGGATTATGAACGTCTCCGGACGCGAGGCTAAGGCAGCGCGATACGAGGAGGCCGAAATCACTTTCTCGGAGGCCGACGCGAAGGGGGTACATTTCTCCCAGAGTGACGCCTTAGTCGTCGAGGCCATGATCCGTAACCATACGGTTTGCCGTATCCTGGTCGATAACGGCAGCTCCGTGGACATCTTGTACTTAGACTGCCTTGATAAGATAGGGATCCCCCGCGTAAGGCTGTAAAACAGTGCGTAGCCCTTGTACGGTTTCACAGGGGATAGCGTCATCCCGGAATGGGCGATAGAGCTGCCCATGATCATTGGAGACCGACCACACACCTCGACTGTCATGTCAAAATTCTTGATGGTGAAGGGAGGCGACCAATACAACGCGGTCATAGTGCGCCCGATGCTGAGGGCTCTGAGGGCAGTCACATCAATCTACCACCAGATGATGAAGTTTCTGACACCTAGTGGGATCGGCAAGGCCCGGGGAAATTAGTACGAGTCGAGGCTTACGTACTCGGAGACGGTCCGCCACTACGTCGAGTCGACACAGGTACGGATGGAGCTGAGAATGGTCAAAACCAGGGCGGAAGAGTGCGATTTGGATCCAAGGTTCCAGGGAGATGAGACCGGAACGGGACCGGTCGAGGAATTGATTGAGGTCTCCATCGATGAAAGAGAGTCGATGAGAACGCTAAGGGTGGGCTCAGAACTGGGGACATAGACCCGCGAGAGACTGGTCGAGTTTCTTAGAACAAGCCTCGACGTGTTCGTCTGGACACACGAAGACATGGAAGGGATAAGTCTTGACATCATGTGTCACAGGCTAAACATTGATGAGAAATACCCGCCTAAGAGACAGAAATGACGACCCATGAACGCCGAGCGGTACGAGGCCCTGCGGGATGAGGTCGACAAGCTTATCAGAAACAACTTCATCCGAGAAGTCATGTACCCCAGGTGGGTCTCGAATCCAGTATCGGTAAGGAAGCCAAACGGGGAGTGGAGGACATGCGTCGATTTCAGTGACCTGAACAAAGCATGTCCCAAGGACAGCTTCCCACTTCCCCGAATCGATCAGCTGATCGACGCTACGGCGGGACACGACCTGTTGAGCTTCATGGACGCATACTCTGGGTACAATCAGATACCAATGCTCGACCGCGACGAAGAACACACGGCGTTTGTCACCGACAGAGGCCTCTACTGTTACAAGGTGATGCCCTTCGGTCTCAAAAACGCCGGGGTAACTTATCAACGCCTCGTCAACAAGATGTTCGCGGGGCAGATAGGAAAGTCAATGGAGGTTTACGTGGATGACATGCTGGTAAAGAGCAGGAAGACCGAGGACCATGTGGAGGACCTTAGGAGGATGTTCAACGTCCTCAGGGCATACAAAATGAAGCTAAACCCCCGCAGGTGTGTCTTCGGCGTTGCCTCTGGGAAATTCTTAGGTTTCATGGTGAGCAGTCGAGGAATCGAGGCCAATCCGAAAAAGATTCAGGCTCTCCTCGACATGGGATCGCCAAGGAAGCCCAAGGAAGTCCAGAAGCTGACAGGCTGTGTGGCCGCACTTAACCGGTTTATTTTAAAATCATCAGATAAGTGTGTACCGTTCTTTGACACCCTGAGGGGCAGCAAGCCATTCCTGTGGACGGAAGAGTGCGAACAGGCGTTCCAACAACTGAAGGAACACCTTGGGAAACCCCCTCTGCTGTCCAAACTTGTGACCGGAGAGGTGCTGAGCCTTTACCTGTCGGTCTCGGAACACGCCGTTAGCTCGGTGGTGATCCGCGAGGAGAAGAAGGTGCAGATGTCGGTGTATTACACTAGCAAGCGCCTCCTTGACGCGGAGATGAGATCCCCAGATGGAAAAGCTCGCCCTCGCGTTAGTTGTGACAGCGAGGAAGTTGCGGCACTACTTCCAGGCCCATAGCATTCAGGTCTTGACCAACCACCCACTCAGGCAAGTGCTACAAAAGCCCGACACCTCCGGTCGACTCTTGAAATGGTCCATAGAGCTAAGCCAGTTCGGCATCGACTACAAACCGCGGACTGCCATCAAGGGCCAAGCCCTGGCAGACTTTGTGGTAGAGTTCACATGGTTACCGGATAACGTCGAGGAAGCTGACGAATCACCGCGGTGGAAGCTCTACGTTGACGGGAGCTCCAACGACAACGATAGTGGGGCAGGGCTGGTATTACACACACCTGAGGGACACAAGATCACCTCGGCCATCAGGTTTGAATTCCCCGCATCTAATAACGAAGCCGAAAATGAGGCGATGCTGGCTGGACTCCGGTTAGCGGAGCACTTAAAAGCGGGGAACTTGGACATCTTCAGCGATTCACAGCTTATTGTGAATCAAGTGAAGGGCCAATACCAGACCCGGGACGAGAAAATGGCCGCGTATATGAAGAAGGTCAAAGAAGCCCTGGGGAGGCTCACGGCCTACGACATACAGCAAGTACCAGGAGCAGAGAATAGCAACGCCGATGCCCTCGCCAAGTTGGCGACGTCGAGAGATGCCGAGCTCTTGGACCTGGTTCCCGTGGAGGTCTTGAAAGCCCCGACCACAGAAAAGAGGCCCGAGGTTGTGCCGGTGGATTATCAGCCGAGCTGGATGGACCCAATCATCAGGTACTTGGTACACGGCGAACTCACTGAGGATAGGCATGAGGTAAAAAAAATGAGGTACCAGGCAGCAAGGTACACAATGCACGACAATCTCCTCTATCGCAAGGGGTACTCGACGCCCTTGCTCAGGTGCCTCAGAGCAGGAGAGGCAACGAGAGTGCTGTCTGAGGTGCACGATGGGATATGTGGGAACCACGCAGGGGGATAGTCCTTAGCCTACAAAGTACTACGACAGGGATATTACTGGCCAAGTCTCAAGAAAGATGCGGCCGAATACGCGAAAAGATGTGAGAGCTGCCAAAGGTACGCTCCTACCCCCTGACTGCATTCAGAGGACCTAACATCTATAGTGTCTCCCTGGCCCTTCGCCAAGTGGGGAATTGACCTTATTGGTCCCCTGCACAAAACCCCAGGGCGGTACAAGTTCGCTATTGTCGCCGTCGACTACTTTACGAAGTGGGTGGAGGCCGAGCCATTAATGACCATCTCAAAAGAAAAATGTACAAACTTCATATGGAACAACATAGTTTGCAGGTTTGGTGTGCCGCATTCTCTCGTGTCCGACAATGGGAAGCAATTCAACAATGACAACACCAGCCAGTTTTGCGAACTACTAGGGATCCACAAGAATTTCTCCTCTGTTGTATACCCCCAGTCCAATGGGCAGGTCGAGGCAGTCAACAAGATAATCAAAGTCACGCTCAAACGACGCCTCGACGCCCACAAAGGAAAATGGGCCGACGAGTTGCCGAAAGTACTGTGGGCCTACAGAACAACGAGTAGAACTACTACGGGGGAAACTCCATTCTCGATGGCATACGGGGTCAAGGCAGTCCTTCCAGTCGAGGTGTCCATCCTGACCAACCGGGTAACCCGGTACGAGGAGGAGAGGAATGCTGAGCTGATGGGCTTGGAGCTCGACCTCCTGGAAGAACGGCGCACGGACGCATAGCTAAGGCTCGCCGCTTACCGGGCAAGAACTGCCAGGTATTATAACAAGAAGGTCAAGCAAAAGCACTTCGGGATCGGAGACCTAGTCTTACGAGTGATAACCCCTAATACCAAACCCAAGAACTCCGGAACCTTGGGCCTAACCTGGGAAGGCCCTACAGAATAAGAGAAATTATGGCTAATGGGTCGTATTGGCTGGCAGAGCTCGATGGTCAAGGCATCAAGCATACTTGGAATGCGAACTAGTTGAAGGCCTACTACCAGTTATCACGAGAATGTCGACCTGACAGAACGGACTTAATGTCTTGTTACTCTTAGCTACTTGTAAATTCTATCTCATTTCTCCTTTCTGACAAGCTGAAAAGCCACTTGTAAATTCTACATGAATAAAAAGCAATGCGCGTTATACGCTTAGCTAACAAATCCTGCCTTACGACCGATTCTTGTTACGCGAGTACAACCGTCTACTGTTCCTGTCGATACGTCGACCAGATTAATTCGTTGATACGTTGACTAAAATCGTTGATACGACGACGACGAGGGGACAATAAGGCCCCTCACGAACTTGCAAGGGCGGTGGGGCTCCGGCTCAACCATACCCAAGCAACAAGCAAAGTTCCTACACTTAATATTCTAGCATCTACGTCGACGCTTCAACAATAGTACGCCAAAGCCGAGTTCTAAAACTCAGCTTGGGCGAGGGGGTACTAAGGCCCAACATGAGGCCCCCCACAAAAAGAAAAAAAAAACTCAACTCACGAAAGACAGTCGAGCCTACACTTAGCGAAAAATTCTCCACACAACAGAATGAACGAAGTAAGCATGAATATATAAAAAGAAAACACAACAAAAATACTTGTCTCGGCCTTATGGTCGTTACAAACCACCAAATAAATATTGTCTGGGCTTTACGGCCCCATTGTAAAAAAAAAAAAAAAAAAGAATAACAGCAAGAAAAGAGAAACTAAAATCTCTTTACTACGCACCCCTGTCCCCGCCGGCCTGCTCCTCGCCCCCTAGCTCCGGCTCGCCGCCTTCTCTCGGCGCCCACTCTAAGCCCTCGGCCGCTTGCTCAGCCTCAGCCTGTGTCCGCTCGACACCCCCAGCCGGTTGGTCCAGTTCGACAACCTCTATCTCCTCACTGTCAGACTCGTCGAGGAAAGCAAGGTCGACATCCGGACGCTTCTTCCGGAAGCGGTCGAGGATTTGCTCCCCAGCAGACTTCATGAGGGACAACTGGAGTTCCTCAAACTCAGCAGAGTCCTGCTAGGCGTCGAGCCTTTGGTTTACGAGCTCCTTGAAGGCCTCAGAGGACTTGAACTGATCCATCTGCCCCTCAACTATCTCCTGGAGCTCCCTGGACACCTTGAACGACTCCAACCTGGTGTCAACCAAGCGACTGAACTCCTCAGAAGCCATGAAGTCCCGGACCGCCTTCGAAGCCACTTCTCTCTGCCGCTGCTGGAACTCGGCGGACGAGAGGTATTCCTCGACGGCCTTGGAGCTTCCCTGCCGTTTGCCCTCCCGGAAGCTGGCGGCCTGCTCGGTGGTGATGCTCTCCCCAAGAGACACCACATTGGCCTTCTCGACCTCTAGGTTCAGGGAAAGCTCCTCTCGGGCGACACGAAGGGTCTTGAGCTCCTGCTCGACGTCTTTCGATGCCGCCTCCTTCTGAATCAGGTATTCCAGCTCCATATAGTTTTGGAGGGCGAGCTCAAGGGCTTGCGTACCAAGGAAAAGGGGGGGACAAGGTTAGAGCGCAGAGACAGAACCCCAAATAAGGAAAGCAAAAGTCGAGGAGCAGGAGAGGAGCATACCGAGAGTTGGCACGTCACAATGAGACGTTGGCGTTCCAGAATGCTCCTCCTAGCGAAGGAGTTCCAGGAATCTTCGTGGAAGAGCGTGTAAATGGCCTAGATAGGGAGGCTGAAGCGGGGAGAAAGGCGCAGAGCATTGTGGAGATGCCGCGGCACGACGTCCGTGACGACAAATTTGGGGTCATCCACTTTTGACCCCGGCATCACCAGCGGCTCAGGTACAGGAGAGACCTCCTCGACGCCCTTCCCCTTTTCAAGGCGCCGAGCCTGTTGTGATGGTGACTCCCTGACCTCCACCGGGGCCCAGGAGTCCTCAACCCACGGCCCCTTGGCGGATGGGTCGATCACGAACATCCCCTGAGGGAGGGGATTAGTGACACGGGGAGAGGGAGCGACCTGAACAGGCGGTTGCCTCGGTGGTTCCGAAGTCTCATCCCTGTTCTTTCTCTTCCTCGGCCTCGTTGGGACAGCGTACCTAATCTCTGACGGCACAGCTGCAAAAAGAAGAAGGGGTCAGTCCGTGAACCTCTCGACCGTACGCCTCGGCCTCAGACAAGAACAAGAGAGAAAAGCCATGACTTACCACTCAGGAGATCCGCGGGAGGGCCGACAGGGCGTCAAGCGAGACGTCGAGTAGTGTCGATGAGCACGGACAAGCCGTATTCTTCCCGGTTCTCGGTAGTGTTAAGAACCGAAGCGTGACGGTTGTCTTCAGAAAGAGCGAGAACCCGCTCGACGCGTGCAAGAGTAGAAGCAGAGAGTCGCGGCCGAGGGATAATTTCACCTGCAACAAGAAGTAATGCGTTAGAAAGCTCGACGAACAAAATCGGTGCTATCAAGACGGAGTATAGAGAGTGGGGGACCTACAGTATTTACTGAATACTGTTTGCGTCCCCAAGGGACGCTCGCCGTCGAGAGGGTAGGAGTTGAAATTGCCCCTAATGAAAAAGAATTGGGGCTTCCACCCATGGGCACTGGAGGTCTTCTTGACCACCAACGGGGGAACGGGAAGCTTGGACTTGGCGGAGGAAGCTAAATAGAAAAACCCCCTCTGGTCCGGGGAGGCCTTGAGGGAGTAACAGTACAAAAATTCGTCGACGGTTAAGTCGACCCCTAAGAATTTCCTCCATAGGATAATCATGGAGTTAATTGTCACCCAACAGTTGGGAGGCCGACGCCTCGCGGTAATCCTTCACCTGCCGAAGCAGAGAGTCCACACTCCCGTCCGAGGACGAGCTTGTCGTCGCCACCTCGACTGGGTCATCCCTCACCCTTGATGTAGAGACTTCTCGACCCCTAGCTTGTTTTGGCGACATGCTCTGGAAAACAAACAAAGGGCGAAGTTAGGTCCTAATGGTCGAGAGGTCAAGGTGTTGTGCGGAGATGCACGAAGAACAGGTCCCAGCCAAAGTTCCCAGAACAAGGGGCTGGGAACTCAAGCTCAGCCCCAAGTGTACAGCCAACCGGGGCAGATGAGCACAGTTTCTCCCATTTTTTCTTGTTTTGATACGGGGTCATTGTTTTACCCGCAATGGCACCAGGACAATGGCAAAAATAAAAGGGAACAAGAACTCACCGGTTGTTAGAAGACGTAAATCTGGGGATGAAGGTAAGAAGCACGCGGAACCAAGAGTGTTTAGGAAAAATCCGGCAGCGTAACGGCGTTCAAGGAAATGTGCAGCCTCAACGCCCTCGCAGGGGGTTTAAATACACGCTCGAGGAGTCCAAAGGACTCCAAATTTCGACCGTCGAATTCGATTCGGTTCCATCCAACGGTGAATTCGAGAAGGCGTGATCCAACGGTTAGGGAGAAAGTAATGAAGAGGGATCTAATCGAACGGCTGCGGTTCATCCCCCCAGGGCCACGTGGCGCCAGGAAACTGAGGGCATGGCTGCTGACAAGATCAACGTGACGTTTCCGTTGCCCGAGAAACCAACCGCAATAATCACTGTACTGACAAGCCGCCGCTGCTACCCGCAGAAGAGCTCTCCTCACGAGGCATCCTCGACGCTGAGTAGTCAGGAAAGTCACGCCACGACGTCCCAGCCTAGGGGGTAATTGTTACACCATGGTCGAGGAATCGACCACTCTCTCGACGCTAGGCGTCGAGGACTTCCCGTCCTGAATCGGTCGCTAGCGTCAGAGGAGTGGCCGTAGCTGAGGTGCCCTCTATGTCGAGAGATCACACGTGGAGATAGGCGTCGAGGGTAGTGACTCGACCTCTGAGAGCCACTGCGTCAAGGTATCCTGCCAAGTCAGACCCGTCAGCGGTCTTATCAACTCGGGGAAGGAAGCATCAATCCAACGACTACTGCAGGAGTCAGTGGATCGTGCGGCAGATGAGAGGGGTTAGCCGCATTTCCTGAGATTGTCATCATGAAAACTCACCTACCCTCCCGAAGATCGAGGATGGAAGATGGCTTCCTCCTTGGGAACGAAGAAGGCTTAGTTGTTTGTAACTGCCTATAAATAGAGCAAAAAGAACCCAGAAAGGGGTTAGACACCATTTCATTACTAAGAGGAGAAAACTTGTAACCGACTGAAATATTAGTGCATGCACAAGTGGATTAGGCAAAGAGTTATTGCCGAATCACTATAAAATTGTTGTCTCCCTTGTGTTATTTTTGAGTCTTAATCCTTAATTAGACCGTGAGTGTCAACGCGTGTTGTTTCTGGAGAGATAATCACGAGTTGACGGAAAAACACCGTCAACACATCCCCTTATATTAGTTCCAAACAGGAGAATATATTTTCCCTCACTTTTTTTTCCTTTTCCTCCCTAAAATTGTAAGGTTGTTTTTTTTCAACGATCTTGTCTATAAGTGTTCATGTATATAAGTGTTCAATTAGAGATGTTAAGCAGATCGGGGCTAGCAAGCCAGCACAGACATAAGATATAACGCATTAAGAAATTGAGTCACACATTTTAAGGATTCACTTGCTAGCCAGTAATAATAATGAAGATTTAAAAAAAATTAAATTAATGCATTGTTCATTTCACCGATTCGAATTTTTAGTTTTAAGTTTCTACAGTAAAAAACTCTTATAAAATATCACATCTAATTTTTCTGCTACAGTGAAAAGCTCCCAGAAAATATCACGTCTCAACTCGAATTGAAAACTCGAATCCGCAAAGTGAATGAGGCCGTTTATGCCAGAGGGAATTATATTGTTTTCTTTTTCAAAACATATATGGACTAGATATTTTATTAAACTAGACATTATAAAAATAAAAAACTTCAGGTGTCTGAATAATAAAAAAAAAACAAACGCATATATATATATATATATATATTTCAGAATAATAATTTTAATGTTTTATCTTTATAATCTATAGGATTTACTTCTTATTTTCTTGGCGGTCAGAAACTTATAAAATTTGTTTCGATAATCGTAAAATTTGATGAGAAAATTACTAAACTTAATAATAAAATATATAAGTATGAATTTTTACATTTTATTTTTAATTGATACTCTTGTCATTAATATTGTTGTTTGTTAAAAAGGATATTAATTAAAAATAAGTAGAAAAATTCAAATTCATAACTTCTAAAAAGTATTTATCTTTTTTCTCTAAAATAATAATGTTATAGCAAATAATATTCGTATTTAGCAAACAAAAATAAAAATAATTATCATAATAACACTCTTCAAAAGAGAGAAAAAAAGAAAGAAATATTAAAAAAAAAAGAGAACTATTGAATTTATCATTTTTAAGTAATATAATTATTTAAATAAAATAATATTAATCAAGATTCATACAAATCTAGACTCACAGTTAAAAAAAAAATATATATATATATATATAAATATATGTGTATATATACTGTATAGACTGATGTACCTTTCATCTGCTTTCTCCGTACTCACTCTATGTTGGGCTGCTCTCGGCCTGCATCCTCTCCTTCCCGTCCAATGGGCTCATGCTTTGGGCTTTGGTACCCAAAGGAGATCCTGATAATGGCCGTGATAATGTTGTTAATTTCCCGCCATGAAACTACAGTTAATTTACTTTTCGTGCCACGCAAAACGGATAATAACAGAAACCGAGAAGAGAAAAAACCAGACTCTCAGTCTGATACCTTCAAACTCTCGTCTCGTCCACCATGGCCGCTCTTACTTTCGGCATCGCTTTTACTATCCCAGTCGTCCGCACGTCTCCGAAATCTCACCAGCTCCGAAGGGCAAGAATTTCCTGCATCGGATGGGTATTGCTTTGAAATTCCACGCCTTTTTGGCTTTTTTTTTTCTGCGTCCAATTTGAAAAATTATTCTCAATTTCGTTGTTTCTTCGAAGGAAGGATCCGGAAGGCCTGTTCGGGCAACCGCAGACGGGCCACATCGCTCGGAACGAGTTCAAGAGACGCCTCGAGAGGGACGCCGAGGCTCGGGAGGCTTTCGAACAACATGTCCGCGAAGAAAAAGCGCGTCGCCAAGCTCTTCGTCAAGTAAGTTTTTGAGGATTTTTGTTTTTTAGGTTTTTGGATATTGTGATTGTGAATTTCGTAATGGCTGTTTGGCTGCTGCGATTTTTCTTTTCTTTTTTTTTTCTTTTTCTTTTTCCAGTCTCGTATTCCTCCTGATACTCCGGCGGAGCTTATTGAGTACTTTCTGGACACCGAAGCTCAGGAGATGGAGTTCGAGATTGCGAGGTTGAGGCGAAGGTCAGTGCTTTACTTCATTTCTGAGCGAATATGGAAGAGAATGCGAAATTTGAGAAATTTTTAATGACTTCATATGAGGAAAAGCTCAAGTCATACTGGAAGTTCAGATTTTTACAAACTTGATTCTTATTATGATGCATTATCGTCTTAATTAATCTGTTTTTGAATTGGAAAGTCATCGATTTTGTTGTCATTTTCTATAAGTAATAGTGTTATCATTACTTAATTGTATTGTTATTTCCTGGCTTGATGGATATTGTTATATTCTTTTTTTGAGGGAGGATATTGCTATATTCATTTCTGCGTATTTTAGACGAGACTCTAAAATTTTGGGAAACTTAAATGTGAAAAGCTCAAGTGGAACCAAAAAAAAAAAAAATCCTATCTATATCATCCTTTTTTTTTTTTTTTTTTTTTTTTTTTTTTCCAATTTTCATAAGTAAGTTTATTGCCATTTAATTTATTGGATATAAAAAATCTTTATCTTCTCGTCCGTAAAATTGCTGAGAGAAAATACGGTGACTGCAGATTGGATCAGGAATTTTTTTCACACCTACAAGTAGAGCTGGGTCAGCTTCGTTTTGCGGTTTCTAAAACTGAGGTTCTTTGGTGAAACTGTATATATGAGTTAGATCATGTGTGAGATGGTTTGATCAGAAGATTACCGATACAAAATTTTTTTCTTATCGATGCTTTTCCTAGGATGTGGAGGATAGAGTGATCGAGCTGGAAGCATTGCAGAAAGCCCTTCTGGAAGGGACAGGTTTGTTAGGAGCCCAAAAACTTGTCATTGAATCCTATGAATTCTCGTTTTTGCAAAATTCACACTTTAGACTTTGGGAGCCATTTTACATGCCAATTTCTAACTAGTAACTGAAAAACCAATTGTGAAAATCACCATATCTGATATTTAGCATCTTTCTTTTTGGTGTAAACTTTTGTACCTGTTTGCTGAAATGCCACTACACTCCTCTCCAGAAGCGTATGATAAGATGCAAACCGAACTCGTAAAAGCTAAGGAGAATCTAGCAAAAATTTTGACATCAAAGGATGTGAAAGCAAGTGTACGTGCTCCTCTTTTCGCTTCTCGAGACATCAATTAAACTCTTTTGACAATTTTTCCCTTCATATTTGATGTGATTTTTTTCCTAATACTGCAGTTACTGGAGATGGTCGAGAATAATGAACTTAATAGATCCTTATTGACCCTTCTTGATGAAAACATAGCAAATGCACATAGGGGCAACCAGGTAATAACTGTTTCAAAAGCCTTTTAATTTCATCATCTTGTAAAGTAGTATACGTTGAAACACTGACAATTTTTAGAGTGTAGAAAACATGGAAAGTATGAAATTCAGATTCTCGTTCTGGCATCATACTATTATGTTACACCCGAGCCTAGGAAGAATAAATATGAACGGATGTATTCTAGAGGAGCTCGCAACGTCTTCGGTTGGGGAAGGGATGTGAGTGCGTGAGGTAGTTGCTGAGTTGGATTATAGGCAGTTAGGCTAGGTTAGGGAATAGTGCCTAGAGAGTAGGGAGGTTACAACGGATTGAGGGGTTCTTAACCTGCCATGCAAATCCCACCTCCTACTCCCTCTTTCTTCTCTTCAAAGCTAGCCGAGTCGTTCCCCAGAGGTGTCAAAGAGAGAGAGAGAAAATACTTGTTACTTATAAAGACTAGTTGCGCAAACGAAAGGCTTTTTCTGGTCCCCCCTGAGCCGGGGGGTGCTTGTGGGCGAGACCCTCGCGAAGCGGATTCGGTTCCATCCTATACCTCCTATCGAACGGATTTCAATACAAATGATTGTCCTTTTGGTTGCGATGATTTCTTTTTTTTGTTCAAAGCGAAGCGAGCGGTGCTATTGTCCCCTTCCTTCTCCTAGCGCTCATTGACATCGTATGCGGGTCATCGGGATGGGGAACATCATATATGAAATGACTTGATCCGTGAACGCGCTTACCCAATATTGGCCAGGGAATGGACCAATTCCTTCATTCAATGCATATTGATTGAGGGGGAATCGGTGAGAGAGAGAGACACGTTGAGAGAATATTGTTTTTACCATTTTTGTATTCTTGGCCGAGCTGAGCTCGTGGTTGTTCCAGGGATGCTTAATGAATTGGATCCTTTGGTTGAGGATCCTTCAGTAGTCTATCTGTGGTGTTCTTGTGTTGTTGTGTGTGAATTCGTGTTGCAGGTGCTCAGAGTCCAACAGTTTGGTATCAGAGCATCCACGGTCTGGGTGAGAAGAGAATGACGAAGGGGGTTACTCGCGGTGATCAGGTGGAGGAATTGGAAAAGAAGTTGGATGAACTAACGGAGAAGTTGACGGGGTTGGACCGACTGGAGGAGTGCCTCAAGGGCTTACCTCAATTGGTGACTAACCTCGTCAAGGAGGGCTTCGAGAGCTTCAGTCGCGAGAAGCTGGACTCCGCGATGAAGGAACGAGGGAAGGAGGCGGCCACCGCTTCCGCCACCGGAGCAGAGGAGGCAAACGCCGTCGCAGGGCAAAGTGAACCATGGGATCTGACTTCCGCAGATTTTCCCCCGGCCAGGCGACCACACTACACGGTGCGAACGGATGGGCTGCGACCTCAGGGGGCGACACCGGATAGAGAGCAACCAGCCGCTTGGACAGGAGGCCGTTACCATCAGGAGAGGAGGCGCGGTCCGGAGCGCTGGGAGCTCGGGGGAGACCATCGCAGGACAGGAGAGGAAGTGCCGCCTTGGGCTGGTGGTGAACCTCCCAACTTTGTTCCCCAGCGCTGGCGATTAGGGGGCAGCCCACCTCGGGTGGATTTACCACCTTTTGATGGAGAGGGGTGGCCGGTATGGGAGAGACGGGCGGAGCGTTACTTCCGGGTCCATATGATCTGACCCGATGCTAAGGTCCATGTGGTGGCAGATTACCTCATAGGTAGAGCATGGGAGTATTATGAGTGGGTCATGGAGGAGGAACCGGGCATGGACTGGGAGGAGCTAAAACTCTCCTTTGGGCAGCGTTTTGGGCCTAAAGAATTCAGATCCGTTCAGGAGCAATTGGTGGGCCTGAGATAGCTGGGCTCGTTGGCGGAATATGGGGAACAATTTCAAGAATTGTCAGCCCGTATCCGAGGAATGGACCGAGCGACTACCTTAGGAATTTTCTTGAATGGGCTGAGTCAAGATCTGCAGGATGATGTCCGGATGTGGCAGCCTAGGAGTGTACACGAGGCAATCCAACTGGGCCTGCAGCTGGAGCACAAAATGAAGGCCCAGGGAACACGTGGAACGTGGAAGAGTAAACCACGTGTTCCAACCCAGCCCACATCACCAAATGACAGGTCGTTTGGCAACTAACAAGTGGGGAACAGCCCTGGTTAGTAACCCGCGTCCCTCATACGAGCAGACCCACAGAGTTGTTGGACCGGGACTGAGAGAGGGCGGCGGTGGCCCAAGTCCGGCACAGCTGGAACGTCAACGGTGGAAGGATAATCGGGAGTGTTTCCGGTGCGGAGAGCCGTGGGCGGGCGGCCACCGGTGCAAGACCGGTACGCTCAGGATGCTCGAAACGGCGCCCGAAGAGGAGGACGAGTCTGAGAAGAAGGCGACACCGCCGGAGGAAGGCCGTGGCGGAACCGACTTTGAGGAGGAAGATGGGTTGCTGCTCCTCCAACCGGACCTTAGGTTGCAGGCCTTAGCGGGAATCAATGGGGGCGACACCTTGAAGCTGTACGGCCACATACATGGAAAAAAGGTAACCATTCTTATCGACAGTGGGGCAAATTCTTCTTTTATCAGTTGGAACAGGGTTAGGGAATTAAAATTGACGGTGCTCCCGATTCCGGAAGTAAAGGTAGGTGATGGTTACTGCGTGACAATTGGGAGCATGTGCTGTGGAGTGTGTGTGGAAGTGTCTAAGTTAGAGTTTGAACTGGACTTATACCCTTTTGAAATTCCGGGGGTGGATGTAGTCTTAGGAGCGGGTTGGCTCAGACAGCTGGGCACCTTTAAAGCGAACTTTAGACATATGTGGTTAGAGTTCGAACTGGAAGGGAAGGTACATCGACTGATTGGGGTGTCGGCGTTATCCCGCGAGTCTATCTCGGTGGCCGCCGTGGCCAAAATGGCTAGGAAGGGCGAAGAGTGTTGTATGATACAGTGGCAGAGTGCTCCTTCTCCCACTGCCGGGAATGGCGAGGCAACGAAGCCTTTTGTGGAGCAGTTGGAAAAGGAGTATGGAACGGTGTTTTCGGGAAAATTGGAATTACCACCGTCGAGAACGGGGGATCATGCCATCCTACTACACCCGGGGGCAAAACCCCTAAATATCAGGCCATATCGTTATCCCCACGCACATAAGAATGAGATAGAGCGCTTAATAGCCGACATGACAGTGGTAGGGATTATTCGACCCAGCCAAAGCCCATATTCGAGTCCGGTGCTATTGGTCCGCAAGAAGGACGGAAGTTGGCGGTTTTGTGTGGACTATCGGGAATTGAACAAGTTGATAGTGCCGGACAAATTTCCAATTCCTATAATCGAAGAATTGTTGGACGAGCTTCACGGAGCATCTTGCTTTTCCAAGCTCGATTTAAAGAGTGGTTACCACCAAATACGCATGAGGCGGGAAGATGTTGAGAAAACGGCATTTCGGATGCATGAGGGGCACTATGAATTCTTGGTTATGCCTTTTGGGCTCACGAACGCTCCGGCTACCTTTCAAGCCATGATGACCGAGTTGTTCAAACCCCTACTTCGGAAATTTGTTCTAGTTTTTCTGGATGACATACTAATTTACAGTCACAGCCCACAGGAGCATTTTGGCCATCTATGCACCGTTTTGGGGCTGTTGAAGGAAGGGAGTTTTGTGCTCAACCTGAAAAAAAGTCTGTTTTTCCAAGAGTCGGTGGAATACTTGGGACATCGCATTTCCCAGAAAGGGGTAGCGGCAGATCCGGGAAAAATTCGGGCCATGGTGGAATGGCCTACCCCAACCACAGTAAAAGGGGTGTGAGGGTTCCTTGGTTTGATGGGATACTACCGTCGTTTTGTGAAGGATTACGGTGCCATAGCACGGCCCTTGACGGAGTTGTTAAAGAAGGGAGAGGTCACTTGGTCGGAGGAGGCATAGCGGGCATTCCAGGAACTCAAACGGAGGAACAGAGATCCCAGTCCTTGCTCTACCCGACTTCAATGACACTTTCGAGGTGGAGACGGATGCATCAGGGGCTGGAATAGGGGCAGTCCTACTGCAACAAGGGCGACCGGTGGCTTATTTTAGCAAGGGGTTGTCGCCTAGCACAATGGCGAAGTCGGTTTACGAGAGGGAACTTATGGCCCTGGTTCTGGCCATCCATAAATGGAGAGCTTACCTCCTTGGCAGGAAATTTGTGGTACGTACGGATCAAAAGTCTCTCCGTTTCCTTTTGGAACAGCGGATTAGTACTCCGGCGCAACAAAAGTGGTTGGTAAAGTTGATGGAGTTTGAGCTTGACATTCACTACCGTGCCGGAAGAGAGAACGTTGTGGCGGATGCGTTGTCTCGACGGGGTGGATGGGCGCTAGGAGGGGAGCTCTTGGCTATCTCGAGACCCCAATTTCTAGACATGGCGGTCGTAGAGCAAGAGATAGCCGCGGATGCCAAGCTTTGCTCTTAAGGAGGAGTTGGGCCGCGGGGAGGCACAAGACAGCCATTACACAGTGGAGAGTGGGGTGTTGCTGCATCGGGGCCGGATAGTAATTCCAGTGGGATCCCAGCTCAAGCAACAGTTATTGGAGGAATTTCACTCAACTCCAACTGGGGGACACGCCGGTACTCTAAGGACGTACAAGAGAATTAGCGCTAACGTATATTGGCCGGGTATCGCAAAGGATGTGCAACGGTTTGTCGCCGAGTGTGGGGTTTGTCAACAACACAAGGTGGAGTCAACGAGTCCGGCCGGGTTACTACAGCCGCTGCCCATTCCCGAGGCAGTGTGGGAGGACATCTCGATGGATTTTATCGAGGCGCTGCCTAAATCCAATGGGCATGAGGTCATCTTCGTGGTGGTGGATCGCTTAACCAAATTCGCACATTTCATTGCACTTAAGCGGCCGTTCACTGCGAAGTTGGTGGCAAAGGTGTTTTGCCGGGAAGTGGTGCGCCTTCATGGCATGCCCAGGAGTATAGTGAGTGATCGGAATAAGATCTTCACTAGCCATTTTTGGAGAGAGCTATTCCGTCTCCAACGGACCACCCTACGCAGAGCTCGGCATATCACCCCCAGACGGATGGTCAGACCGAGGTGCTTAACCGTTGTTTGGAGGCATATCTGAGATGCTTCACCAGTGGCTAGCCGAGGCATTGGAGCAGGTGGTTGTGCTGGGCGGAATATTGGTACAACACCAATTTCCATGGTGCTACTCGCGTGACACCATTCCAGGCACTCTATGGCCGGGCTGCCCCTATTTTGGCCCGCTACACAGGGGGCAGAACCGCAGTGGGTTCAGTGGATATGCAACTTTCGGAATGAGATGAGTAGCTAAAACAACTACGCTGCAATTTGGAGCGGGCGCAGGAACGCATGAAGCGCTATGCGGATCAACGACGGGTGGAACGGGAGTTTCAGATTGGGGAGCTCGCGTGGCTGAAACTACAACCCTATCGGCAGGGTACCGTGGCCCGGCGCACCAGCAACAAGTTAGCCCCAAAGTATCATGGCCCTTTTGAGGTAATCGGCAAGGTAGGCCTAGTGGCCTATAGACTTCAACTACCAGAGGGGTCCAGGGTGCATCCGGTTTTTCATGTGTCGATGCTTAAAAAGGTGGTCGGGGGCGTGCGGTTTCGCAGGAACCAGTGGTTGTGGACACCGCAGCAGACATCCCTGAACCTCTGTTTCCAGAGAGTTTGCTGCAAGGGCAGCTGAGGAAGCATAGGGGGCAGTCGGTGAAGGAAGTGCTGGTTAAGTGGCAGGGACGGGACATCGAGGACGCTATCTGGGAGGTTGTCGCAGAGCTGCAATTCCATTTCCCTACCTTCGACCTTGAGGACAAGGTCTCTTTTGAGGAGGGGAGTAATGTTACACCCGAGCCTAGGAAGAATAAATATGAACGGATGTATTCTAGAGGAGCTCGCAACGTCTTCGGTTGGGGAAGGGATGAGAGTGCGTGCGGTAGTTGCTGAGCTGGATTATAGGCAGTTAGGCTAGGCTAGGGAATAGTGCCTAGAGAGTAGGGAGGTTACAACGGATTGAGGGGTTCTTAAGGGGGAATCAGTGAGAGAGAGAGACACGTTGAGAGAATATTGTTTTTACCATTTTTGTATTCTTGGCCGAGCTGAGCTCGTGGTTGTTCCAGGGACAATTAATGAATTGGATCCTTTGGTTGAGGATCCTTCAGTAGTCTATCTGTGGTGTTCTTGTGTTGTTGTGTGTGAATTCGTGTTGCAGGTACTCGGAGTCCAACATATTACTACCTAAAGTTTTACCCTTTTCCAACTTCACATGGACATGCAAAACTCCTGTATATATCTTGTTTTAGTTACAACTTTATATAGAATCGTATGTTAGGTGTCGCTTACTTGAAGCAATCCGGGACGGATTGAAGGAAAACGATTTGAGGCTTATTGCTAGTCCTCTCATGATTGAAAGATACTTTTAATTTCAGCTTTCCTATATATTGCACTGGCCACTGAGCTATTTACATTCACATGAATCCAACTTGCAGAAAAAAGCAGCTGAATTCATGGAAAAGGTTCGAGGAGCTATGCTGAAGTACATTACAGTTTAGTTCTCAGGTGATGTATATTATCTTTCTGGTCACTTTGGTTCGTGTCATATGTTGCTGTTTTGTCAAATTCACTAGTTCATGTTTTTGACAGAATCAGTGAAGGATTGTTATATATATATATATATATATATATATATTGAACTGAAGGATTGTTATATCATAAACATGTTTTGAAGTTCAAAAGTACATATATTAAAATCATATTTTCTTTAATCACAGTAGAATAGTTCTCTAGTTTCTCTATCTCACCTCAGGCAATTGTGATGATTGAAAAATCATTTTTTGTTCCTATGGTCGACGGATGATAATCTGAAATATGCAGAGGGACTGATTTTTTGATCTGACTACTACCTAACAGATAGCTCATTTCATTTCAATGCTCGGGTGTCTTTTTCATAGTCGACGCAGCATGGAATGGAACAATTTATTCTATGCTCAGCAAAAATCAAATCATTTTCATTAGGAACAAAAAAGATTAAACTATATGCAGAATATGGTCACTGATTTGGAAAGCACTGAAATAACACTAATTTCAATAAATACAATATATTGCACTAAGCCTCTTTTGCTTTGTAAAATATGTAGGCTGACCAGTGCATGATGGGCAGCTGTTGAAGACTTCTGTGCTGGTAGACAAGAAGCTTGAGCTTTGGGAAAGTTCACATATAATGTTCAATAACAAAAAGTAACTTGTGTGAGCTACATCAAGTCCACTTTGAAGATGAAAACTTATTTGGAATTCAAAATTTGAGTTATGGGCAAGCAATGGAGAAAATTGGAGTGGGCCCAATCATGTCTCAGCTTGAGAGGTAGTAGAGGTAAAGTTATGATGTATTGGAGGTATTGGAGGGGCCAACCTAACCATAGATGGGTAAGTTGATCAATCCTATATACTTTTTCTTTTTTTTTTTTTTTTTTGCGCTCGGAAAAATTATCTCTTACCTTGAAACTAGAAAGGAAGTAAAACTAGTTTTGTTGCCGCAAAAGCTTTGTAAATATGATTCTTGGAGAGTCGTGTCACTATTCTATTTATTATGTTGTTGCGTCCTTATCTACTAGGAAGGTGCATGTAATTGGGGCCACAGGCTACTTTATTTTTAGCAAGTTTGCGAAGTTTGTGTTATTTTATCAAGGAAGAGATATATATTGCCACGCGAGAAAGTGTCTAGAACCATCCCACAAGGATCAGTACCAAAGGGGACCATAGCCTTCGTTAAATTTCTCCTTGGTCTGGCCTATTTTCATACTTCCAGAGCAGTAAAAACTATATATATATATATATAGTTTTCCTAGCTGTGAAACAACAAATTCGTTTGTCCTTAAGGTCGTCTTCTTTAATTGCAGAACAACTTGCTATAAATATACATTTATTACCTGAATTTATAATATTTGTTGCACTTATTACCGTTGAGCAGCATTTCAGTACTGTGCTTGTCTCGTATGCTTGGCCTTATAGATTATAATGAAGCACACAGCATCTTTGGTGGAGCTTAAACGGATTACTTAGCCGTACGTTTATGTTATCATTACTACATGTGGTAGAACAGAAGATTTCAGATTCTGAAGTAAACCTTACGCTCACGTTTCATTTTTCATTTTATTTATTTATTTTTTAAGAATCGTGTTCTATCAATTAGATAGTTTTGTATTTTATGACAAAGTCCAAAATAAAAAGTAAGGTTTGTTAAGCGTTACTTTTTTTAACTTGCGTTTTGCTATTGAAAAAAAAAAAAAAAAAAAAAAAAAAAAAAACGGGGTATTCCCAATCTCAATCCCCAAAAATGTCATTCCAATCTCAATCCCCAGAAATTGAGGGACCCACCAATGGAACGAGAATAACAAGGAATTAGCATAATATATATACGTATAGAAACTTCCACACACATTCATTTCATACCGTGTGACCACCACTCGTATCCATACCGATACCGGATCTCTCCAAATCAGAAATGGCAAGACTTGGCATCTCACTCCTCCTCTCAACCCTTGTAGTCCTGATCATGGCAGCTAATGTGGCGAAATCTACCAATACAATCTCCAGATCAGTCAACACAAAGTCATCAACCCCCACAAATTTCATCAGAGCGTCATGCAAAACCACATCCTACCCTGCACTCTGCGTCCAGTGCCTCTCAGCCTTCGCAAAGCAGATCCGACGAAGCGAGCGACAACTCGCGCAGACCGCCCTAACGGTGAGCCTCTCCAGGGCAAGATCAGCTTCACACTTGGTGTCAAAGATGACCAGGGTCAGAGGGATCAAGCCAAGGGAGTACCAAGCCGTGAAGGACTGCATAGAGAACATGGGGGACACCGTTAACACGCTTAGCCACTCGGTTCGGGAGCTCGGCCAAGTGGGGCAGCAGGACTTTGTGTGGCACATGAGCAATGTCCAGACATGGGTTAGCGCTGCTCTGACTGACGAGAACACTTGTCTTGATGGCTTTTCTGGGCGTTTCATGGATGGGAATGTCAAGGCCGCTATAAGGAGAAGAGTGGTCAATGTTGCTCAAGTCACTAGTAATGCTCTTGCCTTGGTTAATCGCTTTGCTTCCAAACACAGGCCTAATTCCATGCCTGCTCATCATGAACGGCCTTGATTACATTCAAAATACTACTTTTTCACTACTACTATTAGTTAGATTTTTAAATCTGACTTCATATGTATGACTATATAGAGTGAGGCGATCTTATGTAATCTGGTTTGTGTTTTTTTATTTTGATGTGAACGTGTAACATACTTTAAGTCTTGAAATTAAGTAAGCTTTTTGTACCGAGGTTTTGTTTTGTGTGTAATATATATATTTTCGGACTTGGTTTCTCTAGCTACTGCTATTTTCAAGTCAGTTAATCTTTTAGCAGCTCAGAGCACCCCAACCAATTAACCACGATTTTGCCTGCTTGACTGTGGTTTACTTTATCTAGTTTTCCAACTTTGTTTTCTTCTTCTTTTTCACAGTCAGGAAAAACATGAAGAGAAAAGGTAGAATATAAATGAAAAAACGGTTTCGCTCATTTTCAGTGTTCAAAACGAATTACAATATATACACATATACATCATGTATATATAAACAAAGTGATGTTTAAGGAGAAATCCAAAAAATTGGCAAAATATAATCTGCACCTTAACCAGTATTTTTCTTTTTCGGGCCAAAGTAGAATAGCTTCTGTTTGTTTGTTTCTAGATCTTTTTGTTTCATTAAGTATTTTTCGTTATCATATTCGTCCATCTTTAATGTATGAGTTCTTTTCGCTTAGTATTGAATAAGGGAAAGTTTTAATCTTCTCTCTCTTTTTTTTTTCCTTTTAAAATAATTATTATACTCCAGAATCATATTCTTTAGAGATACATTTTATGATATTTATACGACAAATACCTAATCTATGGGCCATACTAAGCATAATCACGCTACAATTAGGCCGCATTCCGCGGAATAATTATTTAAAAAGTAGTTTTAATTTAAGAAAAGAGTCGTTTCCCATTTGATATATATATATATATATATACTGCTCATCACTTATGTTTGTCCAACTTTAGGGCTGCTGCCTCTACCTGCAGACCACCAAATCTGACTGTAGTCACCAAAACATAAAAAGACTCGAATACTTTATTCAGAGGCTTATCTTCTTAAAGCCTTTTGCGATATGTCTAAATTAAAGTTGATACATCCCTGTAATAACATATATCTATCAGCCAAAAACGACTGTGAAATTGTTCCTAGAGTCACGTGAGTAGTGATCAAGAGAAAAAACGTGGTAATTATTGAAAGGTCACAAATTATGGCACCAAACATTAACCACCGAATACAGTAAATACATGCACCCAGCTGTTACCTCTATTTTCTCCGTGATTAGTATTATTAACTGTAATCCGTGTGATTAGTATTATTAGCTGTAATTCGTTAGTATTATTTAATTTCCTTCTTTATTTTTCAAGATTTTGTCCTTCATTTTGCAACAGTAATTTCCTCAAGAGTATTACATTTTTAGACGTCTGATCAGATTGTATTAATTCTCATGAATCTCTTTATAAAGGATGTGATTCAGTATTGTATGCAGTGGCGGAACCAACTTTTCACTTCAGTGGGTGTATACACTAATTTTTTTTAATAAATTATCTTAGTGGAGATATATAAGAAAATATATTTATTTTAGTGGGGGCATATATTATTTCAGTAGAGATTTAAATGTAAAATTTTAAAATTTTTAAAGGTAACATTTTTTTCAAAAAAATCCCACTGAGCTGTACTTAAATCCGCCACTGATTATATGCTAAACAAAATACTTCTGTCTCTCTCTTTTAGAATTGCTTGATATACTATAGACTTCGAACTCAAGCCTGGTTAATTTTACATCAAACACTCCCACTTATGTGTAAGTCGATAACAGACAAAAGTGCGATTACATGTTAACTAGAAAGCTCAATTAAAAAAAAAAGAAAAAAAATTAAAGCAACTCAACACGTTCTTATAATTTTAAAGAGGATATAAAGAATGTAACTAAGAAGTTTGAACATAATATGTCTTATTTTGATACCATATTAAATTACAATTTCTTTAAAAAACTTAATCAGTTAGGAGGCGATTCAAAAATTTTTCTTTGTACTTAGTAGTAAAACTTTTCCACTTCCAAATTTTAACTACCAAAAGTTTTTAGTAACAAAAACAATTTACTACCAAAATTAAGGGTTCTGCTACCAACTTTTGGTAGTAAAATATCGGAATTCTTGTATTGAGGCATCAACAAAAGTTTTATATTTCTCCTTTAAAAAAAAAAAAAAAACAACAACAACAGTTTTATATTCAGCGGATTTTAATACTTCTATCATAGGAAAAAGCCAAATGCGAGAGCAAAGCTGAAGCACTTGCTTCATTAAAGCTGAATAAATCGAGGCCGGCACAAAGTGATATCACTGATTTGTGGACCATGTGAAGCTCAACTGCAAAGAATTATTTTTTTTTTATTTTTTTATTTTTTTTAAAGTTGGTATAAGACAGGACCTAAAGAGAGGCCACATGGAGTTATCTGAGATATTCTCATGTCTGATCACTCTTGGGCATATGCATGCAAAACCATCTGAGGAAAAAAAAAAAAGAAAGAAAAAAGAGAGGCAAATGAAAGCCCTTCTTTATCTGACGCCCCAGCCCTTTTAAAGTGGAGAGTCTAAAAGCAACATTATAGGGTCTCCTAGCTACATTAATAATACTACTTTGTTAGTGAATAAAATCCCACATCTATAAAGTTGTCCCTTTGTAAATTTTCTTGTAGGGCTCAGCAGCTTTGATAAACTTTTTGTCCTATCAACTTGAATTGCCAAATGACCCATACAAAGGTAATCAGGTGGGACTGATTCGATACTTGAACTTGACTTGACCAATAGTGCCGAATTAATTCACATTAGCGGCCAAGTTGATCCTCTGATCATGCATGTCTTGACCTACTAATTAAGCATAAAATGTCACATTTTTTTTTCTTTTTTCTTTTTTTGTTCCCTTTTTGTTTAGGTCAATATCGAATGAATCAAAGGTGATATCAAATTCACCAAGATACGACATATGACGCAATTTAAAAATATGTTCTAAGAAATTACGGCCTTTAATGTATTTGATATGTACATTTTTCTGTTCAGGAGAGCACACTTGAAAAATCTTATTTTATTTTATTTTTGAGTACAACAATCGAATATCTTTTGCTTGTCGTGTAGCATTTACCTCGTTTATGAGAAAAGAATTAGAGAACCAATCAATATTCCATATAATTAAGTATAAAATTATAGTTGCCTATTTGATTTGAATAAGAATAAGTTTGGATTATTATTACTCCTAATAGCAATCTAAATTTTGCAAGGAAGTTGCCCATTTTGCTTGAGTAAGAGACTAATTAGACAAAGTTAATTGTATACGCTCTAACTAGGAGCAGCTATTGGATATTTATACAAGGAAAGATCGTTATTATTTATACATGACCTTTCGTTAATATTTTAAATTCATTAATACTTTGAACATTAATCAAAACCTTGCGTCATCCACACAAGTAACTTTGAAATTTGCTTCTGCTTCGAATTTTGGCTATCATGTTATGTCGTTTTCAATTCGTGCACTAAATTTTAATGATTTTTTTGTGTAGAATATGTGGAAAAAAAAAAAAACCCCCAATCAGTTACTTTTTTTTTTTTTTTACAGTCAGGACCATATATAAGAATTTATTTAAAAAAAATAAAAAAATTATTAGATGTTGGTGGAAATCTAACGGTTCAAAATTGTGCAATGTGTCTACAATATATATTTTTACACCATACATGAAAAAATATCAATCGACTTTATATGTCCTTTTTTCTCTTGGGTCCCAAAACGTGGGAACAGTGAACCCCAATCCTTTTTATATAAAATAGGAACCCTTCTTCCAAGTTTTCCCAAAACATTCTCACAAGAAATCAAAAAAAGAATAAAAAAAAAATCTAGTGAAGAATGGACTATATGTTAAAACTTTCAGCCTTTCTTCATGTTCTTGTAGCTTTACTTATTCTCCAACTCTGCAACCACACAAACCTATGTTATTCTGCCACACCAACATTAGTCCCTAACAAAACCTACTTTAATTACATAACAACATCATGCAATGTCACAAGATATCCCAAGCTATGTTACAAATCTCTCTCAATCTTCGCAGCCAAAATAAAAACCAACCCCAAAGTCTTAGCCCAAACCGCTCTCAACGTATCCCTTGCAGCCACCGAAACGACATCAGTTGTACTGAACAGATTGTCCAAAACCCAGGGCTTGAACCCCGCGGAATCTGCAGCCCTGCGTGACTGCATAGAGCTCATCGACGACTCGTCGTACGAGCTCCAAGGGTCGATGAGGGAAATGCGTCGGCTGGCAAGCGAGAACTTCAGTTTTGGAATCAGTAATATACTCACCTGGGCTAGTGCTGCTTTGACCAACTGTGTTACTTGCATGGATGGCTTTGAAGGGAACGACAATATTATGGATGAAGAAGTGAAGGACAGTGTTCTTAGGCATGCAAGGAAGGTTTGTCGTTTGACGAGCAATTCTTTGGCTCTAGTGAACAGCTATGCCTCAGGTGATCAAGGCTGAAGTCGTTGGCTTTATTGGTTGATTTTTTCTGTTTGGTTCTCGGGAAAAAAAGACGAGGGAAAGAATTTCACCTAGTACCCTTTTGGTCATGCCAAGGCAGATGATGATTATCTACAAGGTGTGCGGGTATGTTATTATTAGATAGTATTGTTTTGGCATAAATTAGTCGTCAAGAATTTAATTATTGTGCTTAAGTGTGTAGATGTTCTCATGTATGTGTATATATGTATTAATTATGCGTGGACTTTTTTCTTTTTTCTTTTTTTTAAGGGAATTTATATGTAGATTGTTGGTAATAGATTTAGAATTTGGAGAATGATGGTAAAAGTTATTAGTAAGCGTGCAATAACTAGCCTTCTATTTGGAAAGTATGCTTGTATGTAGTATAGTATGTACGTAATTTTAGATTTTGTCTTTAGAGGTAATCTTTTTGTGTATTTGTTTATGTGTGAATTGTATATAACTAGCCTTTTACTTGAAGAAGTGCTTGTATTGTATTATTCACGTAAATTAATGTATTGATCAAGTTTCTCGTATAATTGTGTAAATTTGGTTATAAACTACTTTTGAAATTTAGTGATTTATATGTACTACTTTGATGTGCAAATTGGACTTAAATTTTCCAAAAAAAAAATAAATAAATGTACATTTGAATTCCAAAAACATAGTGGCATTCGTCTAAATCACCCGTATATATAATTAAGGCTTTTTTTTGTTTAGAATCAGATTTAATTTCTGTCCCAATTGGACCATATAATATATATATATATATATATATACATATACTAGTAGGACTTCATGAGTGAGCTACTCATGGAGACATATGAAATATTGTCCATGCAACTTAAAGATCAAACAATTCATGACATGCCTATACATATATGTCAATTGCCAACATAATCAGAGTCTTCCAGCTATAAAAGCTTAAAAGCCTTTAAACATATATTGCTGTCAATCTCATGAAGCAAGTTTCCATACCACTGGTTAAGAAAAAACACAAAAACTGTTATTTAGTTTTGACTGACTCTGTGACTATAATAGATCATTCATGAAACTCACAAACCAGAAGAGATCAAAGAGATCAATTTGATTACACGCCAAATAATAATAATGTGAAAGATGGAATCAGCTATCAAGCAAACTAAAATAAAAATTGCATGACATTAAATATTAGTGCATTACATCCTAGTTCAAAAGAGTGTCATCTAAAGAAATACAAAAGATACACGCTTCATTTATCAAGCCCAAAACCAAAGTCCAAATTAGTAGGAACTAATTAAAATCCAATGGGTGTATTGTTCAGAACACTCTAAGCCCAAAAGGATAACATTTAATGCACGGAAATCCACGTATAAACCACAATAATTAATATTGGATTTAGACATATATACCATTGAGGCATTCATTATTCACATAGAGGTAGTTGTTATAAGCACTTGAAAAGTTGCTTTTGCGCTTCAACTAATTAAATTGGAGGTACATGTTATTATAAGCCTATATATGAGATAAAAAGTTTCTTGATATATATATATATATATATATATATATA